TTGTTGCACTTTTCTCCCTGCCCACCCCTCCCCCCAGTTCGCTCCTCTCTTTGAAAAGTAAAAGAAAAATTCTTTCATTAGTATACAATTCCCCCGCAACCTCCCTCGCCATCCCGAGTACACTCCACTGTGCAACGTTAATTCTGGACTCTTGTGATAATTTTTAAAGAAGAGAAAGAAAGGCTCTAGATTTGTCCTTGGATAGAAAAGAAGGTACAAATGTGTCTTCACTTGTGAGTGAAACTTGGTTATCTTTACATTTCTTCGGCATTTTTGTTCATATGAGTTTAGAATTCAGTGCATGAATATCATTACAGTCTTATGGCCAACATGCCTAGTTAGATTTTGCTAAAAAGATAAAATGTAATGCATTCATATTTTACTAAATTAACAGCTTGATTATTGTTGGAATGAGTAGACAAACCATTTTTCAATTGTTTTTTTTTCTACGACGTGGGTAATAATAAAACTAACCTATGGATAATAATTCTTACTTCAAAGTGTCAATAATTAAATGACAGACATTTCTGAAGCGAGAGAGATGGAAGGGTCTTTCAAACTCTTTCAAAGAATTGAAATCTTTCCTGCACCCGTGACAGAGATACTAATCCTCTTCTTGTTCTACTTGGCCATCCTTAACACTGCAAAATTGTGATGAGAAATCCTCTGAAAGGCTCAAAGGGACATTCTACCTGTCACTTACATTTATCCACAGCAGAAAGTGGCACTCTGCATTCAGGGACTGATAAATCACAGAGAGGCCAGGGACCAGGAACACTTGCAGCTGCTCCCTATCTACCTGATCCTCAGAGGAAAATTTTACTTATAAAAAAAACCATTTGGTATTTTTATAGCTTAATTATTTCCATGATTAAGAGCTTCTGGCACTATATCTGCTCCTTGGCATAGTGAGGGGAAAACCTAATGAAGATATTCAAGCTTAAAAAAGACAATAAAGTAAAACAGACTCAATGGGTAGGGGGCAGGGCAGTTCAGACATGGGTATAATGGCCTCTTTGCCCTTCATATGAGGAAATAAAAGTGGCTTCTCACATCTCAATGTCTTTTACTAAAAACAATTAAAAGACAGAGGTCTACTTACCAGGAAATTTACTATTAAACAGGTGGCGATAAAGCCTATCCACAGCTTGTCATTACAATCAACAAAAAAAAAATAGTGGTACATGATGATAAAATAGTCTAGTTACTCTACAAAGATAGAATTGCATAGAAAAATGACAAACTCCAGCCCTCCATTCACAGTTTCTACATATATTCATTGTATAACAATTTAGACCGCTTCTAAGTAAAAAATGTCTTGGGTGGTAAGGTGGATGCTGCCTTAAATAAACCATTGCACCAGTGCTGGCAGGGCTGAAATGCAGCTGGGTACTTTCTATATAAACTGGAGCTAGGCAACAATTCCCTTTAATGTTGTCTAATCCTAGGAAGAGGCATAGTGTTCTTCAGGCAGCAAATAAAGGGACTTCAGAGCTGTGGTGGTCAAATTTCTCTCCTGGCACCAAAGAAGAGAGATCCAGCAAAGCAGCTTCTCCCCAGTACATCATGAGTCTGCAAGTCAGACTAAATTGCAGGAAGGGTGCGCCTCTGCTGGGGTGTCAGCTCTGGGTGCCACACATCCACGATGAAAATCAGCCGGAAAGATGAGGCATCCTGCCACACCTCATGTTCAAACGAGTCGTCAAAGATGAGCACTCTGCCTTCTTCCCAAGTCCTAGAACAGAAAACAAGGCTTGTGAGCACAGCCCTGAATGGTTCAGGTAAAAGAGAAAACGAACCAAAACCCTTGTTGCTGTTGAGTTGCTCCTGACTTCTGGCAAGCCCAGCTGTTACAGAGTACACTGCTCCCCAGGGCTTGCTTGGCTGTAACCTCCAGACGCAAAGAGACAGGTTTTTCTCCCAAAGTGCCCCAACTATTCCTTATGTGATCTAGCCCGAGCTGCCTGTGGTACCCAGGGACCTCAGTGCCTGAGGACTGATAAACATTGAAACATTAACAAATAAATGGAACCTCAAGTCAGAACTTATTCTTTTCTTGATAATTAAAAAAATAATATCAAGATTCTTACTAGGAAAATAATTTCTCACTGTCCAACACTATAAAGATATACCAGCAATAGGAGATTAGAGATGAGAGAATGTTGATAGCAGGTCATATTGCTGCTAGATGCTGCAGAGTCAACTACAACTCCAAATTACCTTCGGGCCAATACATGTGCACTTGGCTCTAACCTGCACTTTCTTCACGCTCTCTGCCATACCCAAGCCCATTGTTGCTGTCCCATGTCAATCCATCTTGTTGAGAGTTGTGTTCTCTTTCAATGACCTTTGATCTTTCGCAGCATGACAACAATTTCTAAAGACTGTCCCCTCTTGCTAACAGAGTTTGTGCAGCTATAGGCATAAATTGTTTGCTCTGCAGCTCACTCCTTTTGATTTGCACAATGACGACTTGTAAAGAGGGCCTCCTTCTCCTCTGACCTTTCAGACATACTGGGTTAGAGCTGTGAGCAGTGGTGTGTCTCAGGCTTCTGGCTTCCTCGTGGCATACTTGGCTGGGTGCCTGTACTTCTCTAATGGATTCTCCTTTCCACTCATTCCATTTGTTCAAGTACCAGTTTATGGGAGAAAGGGAGTCTATGAGTTTGAATCTTGTGTTTAGGAGATGGGTAACTAAATTAAGTGCTTTCTAGGTAATATTCCAGCTGAGGAAAAGGGGCAGATAGGTAATTAATTTTATTTATATATTTAGTATTATCTGCTATGCAGATGGGATATTTAAGGAACATATTTAATTAATTTGGTAAAACACCTTTGAGGTCCCCAATGCTACCCCACAAGATATTTGGAGAGAGACTAAAGTCTAATTATAGTCTTAGTTTAAGTCAAGCAATCAAGAAGAGGTAATGGCTTTCAAATCCAATGACATTTTGTTTTCCATGCTAATGTTCTCTTTTAAAATAGATACTAAGCTGTTATTACGTGCTGCAGAGTAGAGCATGACTCACAGTGACCCTATGAACAGCAGATATGAATGCTAAATTATATTTTTAAATTAATATTTCACGAGGAAATTTTCTTTTGACATTAAAATTCTATTTAAGCATTTGGCATTTTATATGCTGGATTAGCAAAAATTAAAATTATAGGATAGAAAATGACAGCTCAATTTCAAATTACTAAGGTATAATTATAGTTTTCTTAAAAAAACTATTTAGATTTTAATGTGTGAACTACTAGGAAAATAATAAATAATAATCAATTGTTGTTATGTACCATTGAGTTGGAACCAACTCATAGCTGACATTCTAGTGTGTTTTCAGAGACAGTTTAATCGCATGGGAGAAGACTTCACATGGCAGAAGATTGTCCTCCCCCACAGCAGCTAGTGGATTTGAACTTCATACCATAATCTACATAGGAGTTCTACAGGACACGTTACCTTCCCTTGGAGACAGCACAACTAAACTTAAGAGACACTGGACAAAAGAAAAAAAAATGTCAGCAGTCGACGTGTTTGGAATCACAGAAGCCAAGAAAGATTAAGAAACAAGCTGTCATATCATGGGTTGGACAATGGAAGATATTTTCTGAAGGGACTTGGCAGATGTGAAGGGTTATCCTGGTGCAGGGTGGATCTGGGAAGTAAGTGGGTCAAGGCACTGGGCTAAGGGTGGGGTCAACACTGTAACTAATGCTTAACTCCACAATAAGAGATTTATGTTTCACTGCTCCACAAATTGCCTGTCTGTCAGATACTCCTCTAAATCTGAACATTCAGATTAAGAGAGACTAGGAAGAAGGATTGGCCACCCACTTCTGAAATAGCAGGCCTCTGAAAACC